CAACTTGATCGTGGTATATGATCTTTTTAATGTGTTCTTGACTTTGATTTGCAAGTATTTTATTCAGAATTTTTGCATCTATGATCATCAAGAATATTGGTCTACAATTTTCTTTTTCGTTGTTGTGCCCTTTTTAGTTTTTGGTAGCAGGGTAATATTAGTTTATAGTAGGAGTTTGGAAGAGTTCTTTCCCTTTCTGTCTCATGGAATAGTTTCAGGAACACTGGTGTCAGTTCTTCATTAAAAGTTTGGTGAATTTTAGCAGTGAATCTATCCATTCCTGGGCTTTTCTTTGTTGGGAAGTTCAGTCTCATTGTTTGTAATTGATCTGTTTAGGTTTTTAACATTCAATTTTGTTTTTAACATTTGTCCATTCTATCGTTTCCATTTTATCAGAATGTGATTTTTTAAAATAGTCTTTAACGAGAGTATGGATTTCAGTAGTATCTGATGTAATATCCCTCTTTTGTCTCTAATTTTATTTATTTGGGTCTTCTTTCTTTCTTTTGGTTCGTTTGGCTAAGAGTTGTCAATCTTGTTTATCAAAGAACCAATTTTTTCTTTCAATGATCTGTTGTATTGTTCTTTCTGTCTCTATTTCATTAATTTCTGCTCTGATTTTTATTTTCTCTTTCCTTCCACTGATTTAAGATTTTCTAGGATCTTAAGATGCATCATAAGGTTATTTATCTGTGATCTTTCAGTTTTTTTCTTTTTTTAATGTATGCACTCATAATGTGTTGTGTGCAAGGATAGGAGTGCCTAGGGTGCGATCCCTCATAGTTACAGTGTCTACGACAGTTATGTTATTTCTCTCTGCCCTGCTTTGGGGCCAGGGGATCTAGTATCCAGGAAAGAACTTAGAGCCCCCATAGCACTATATGTCTACTTGGGACTGGGTCATCAGCTGGAGGTATTTATCTCCCCTGTTCTCAAAGTTGAAGTATTTGCCAAAGTTTAGGCGGGACTAGGTTGTTACTAGAATAAAGTGCTTTTCTTCTCAACTGTGCTAAGGTTGTACAGAGCACTCACCTAACCTGCTTGAAGCAGTAGGCTTGATATCCTGCTCCACTCAGAAGGAAGAAAACTAGTAACAGTAATACACATAACATAAAACAAAACAGATGTATAAAAACAGTAGGCATCAACAATAACACCAATAACTACACAAAAATGTGGCAAACAATTACACAATAAACTAAAAAGGGAAAAATGAGACAATGGAAGAGTAAAGAGGGAAATCCTATTAAATTATAATTAAAATTTAAAATAAAGAAATAAAAAGTAATAAAATAAAAATAATAGAAGGTAGAATAGTGAAAAAAAGAAAAAATATATACCAGTTAAAAATTCCCCTAAAGCTTCATGTTAAAGCTGAATTTAGAAAGTCAAAAGATCATATATTTTTATTCATATGCAGAAGCTAGAGAGCAAAAAGGAGAGGAAAAAAAGAGAACTCATGAAAACAGAAGGGAAACTGGTATGGTAGAGAAAGGGGTTTCAGGGGAAGGAGGAGGAAAAGGCAAGGGAAGGTACTGGGGAATGAAACTGACCAAATTATGTTAAGTGCATGTATGAATATATCTATTATGTGTAATTATTATGCACTTGCTTTTTTAAAAAAAAAATGAGAGAGAGAGAATTAAATTAAGATTCCTCCTAGCTGAGATGTTTGGATTGGAGACACTTCTTTCCGAGCATGTGCACACTCATGCCAGAGACCCTTAGTCTGAATGCCTGGTGAGATGGTCACTGTGGCCTGGCAAATGTCAAAGCTGAACCAATCAATCAGGATACCTCATGTGAGTCAAGCCAGCAAGTTCTTCACCAGAAGGCGAGTCATGAGAACCAAGCATTTTGCCACCCACAGTCCCAGCACTCTCAGACCTAGATTCTTGCCATGATACCCACATCTTTTCTCTTTCCTCACAGAGGGAGAGACCATTAACCTCTGTGTCTTCCATTCTCTGTCCCAACCCATGATCTCTGCTGCTTAAACTACTTATCAGACTCATTCTATATTTCTCACCACCTACAGCTGTCTTGAATGGCCATCTCCCACATAGCCAATGTGGTGCATGTCCACTGAGACCCCTAATTGTGATTCCTCTTTGAATTTTCTGCTCCCCAGAGCAGTTTGGTCTCTATCAGTAGGACCCTCTCAAGATGGTTTCTTGTTGTAGCTCTGTGAGGGTTTGCTGAATAATGTATTGACTTTCTTATGATTGAACAGGTTGTCATGTTCACTCTGCTCTGAACTACCTCACTTCTGGGCTGTAGCATGGGGTAGAGTAAGAAATGTAAGCACCAGACTGCAATTAGTATTGGTCTAGTAATCTCTATCAATTAACATGAAATAGTATTGCTTCCTGTTCAGAGGTTCCTTCCAGGTAGCAATGATGGAATATATAGAGAAATGGAAGTAAATACTAAAAGCATCAGGTGAGACAGATTTAAGAGGTTGCCTCAAGAAAGTGGCAAATGGGGGATGTGGGGAAAGTAACAAACTTTTAGAAGTATTTAACTATCTTTAATTTATGCATATATATCTTTGATTAAAGAAGAGACAAAAGAAATAGAAAACTACTGCTATAATGGAAGACAGCTAACAAAGCAGTTACTTAACATCTGGAACAAGTTACTTAGATTCTATTCTTAAGTCTCCTAACCTGTATATGGAAATAATATTGATAAATACCTTACTGTGTTATTATGAGAATTAAATAAGGTAGCACATGTGTATCGTTTTAAATGCTCCAAATGGCAAATGTTATTTTACCACTTATTAAATGTTATTTTTATTATTTGTATTACTGTTACTATTAGAAAATCTTTTTAACATGTTATTTGGCTTCTTAATTTTAATTGTTTTTTCTCACTCCTTAAATAGGGAATACAGTTGTTCCCAGAACAATTACACTAAAACATAACTTTAGCATATTTAATAATAACTTCTATTTTGTCTTGCTTCCTTATTTTACTACAATTAAAATGTATTTTCTATAATTGAACAGAATTATGTTTGAAGAATCTGAATGATTTGTCATCTCTTGACTTGATAAAGATGGATGAAGGTGTTAATTTCAAACCAACAGGTAATTTTCCTTTGAAAGTTGTTACTGTATTTAATAATTGCTTACTTAAGACTAAATTTAAAAATTTTTATACTAAAATTTAGATGATGGTAAATTGAATTGTGATAGCCATTCCCAATAGAGTATCATTATTATTAGCTAAAGGGCATAATAAATTTACATGAGTACTCTTTATAAAAGTGTAGGACATCTTTTTGATAGAGAGAATTTATCTTCACTGATTCTGCTACTTTTTGCAAAAGATTTGAAATGCTTGAATCTTTGGTTGCTTCATACCTTATATAACTATTGTAGATATTTTGCCAGTTCTTCTTTATGCAAGCATTAATTATCTGGATTGTTAGGCTCTTGAAGGGCAGAAAAGTATCTTTTCCTTCTACTCATCATAAGTTCATTGGCTAGGGCCCGTGTAATGAAAGAGATTAACAAAAGAGAAACATACATATTTATCTAATGTAAGTTTCACATGACATGGAAGCCATCATAAGAAAACAAAGACCCAAAGAACCCAAAGAAGAGGTTAAACCTGAATGTTTTTATGCTAAGTTTGATGAAGAATGGAAAGTCATAGAGAAATATAATAGGACAAAGGGAATATGAACTAAGTATAATAAACTGGGGGAAACTTAACAAGGCCTATACATTCAGATTCCTTTCTCTCTCCTTTTTCTTCAGAGATGGGGTCCTGTTTTCTCCAAATATAGGGAGGGAAAATCTCAAATGAGAGGTTCATGCATTGTGGGAAGATTAGAAAATCCTCCTTGCACATACTGCTTCTCAAATTCCTTTAGTTTAAAATATTTAATATGTCATGATGTCATATTTTGGGGGAGAGTGTCCTAAGCCCTGCCAATTCTGTTCCCTCTTTTTTTCATTTAGTTTTGTTTATAG